TGGGAATACACTGGGTTTAAATGAGTTAATGTATATGAAGTACTAGAACAGTGCCTATTTTATTATTGTTATTATTATTCCTTACATTCCTGTAAAACAAAAACCGGCTGGGAGAAGTTTGTTTTATTGAGTTTTGTTCTGCTGGTTTAACTAAGTATATTCATCTAGCTGTGATAATTATGGCACCTAGAATACTGTGGTGCAAACTGGTAACCATTTCCCACTTCTCTCATGCTCCTGAAAGAGCAGTTTCTTGTGGCTGGTTGCCACCTCCTTCCCATATCAAAGGGCTAAGCCCCTTCTGTTTTGAGGACGCCACTATCTTTTATCTTAGATTGTTTCCACAATATTTCTGTATTGTTTTGGCCTGTGTTTCCACGTGAGGTATCTGAGGCTTGCAGGGTCCAGATCAGAAGTGGGCAGGCTGTTTTCCAGGGCTATTTTCTAGGTTGTCTTCTGACCTTATTGTGTTTAGATACTTTACTTCAGTGGCCATTCAAAGCTGCCTTCACAAAAATGATGGAAGAAAAAATTTAAATTCTGAGCAGTTTTAATTCATGTAAACCTGCTCACTTATCCAAAGCATTCATTCACTGATCCATTTATGCACCAAAGACTCTGTAAAGTGCTGGGCTAGTGCTGGTGAGACCAAGATACTATTCTTATCTTCCATGGATTCTGAAAGCTTGTAAATCAAGGACTCATTCAGTCACCAGTGCGGACCAAATAAGCTTCCACCTCTTAGTGCTACAGCAGTGACCAAATATTGAAATACCGACAAACTTGTTATCAGATTGAACCGAAAGGGATTTGTTATAGATTATTCTGGAAATTACTAGGAGGCCCCAGGGATGAGCTCATCTGCTATAGCTAAGAGAAAAAGACTACTGTCCACATGGAATTATTCCAGTGGGAACCCATGGATGTTGCTGTCCATTGCACAACACAGCAACCCTGGCCTTGGCCGCTCCCCAGGGACACACACTCGTGCTCATCTCCTCACTTTCTGTACACACCTTTGCTTGGAAGAATTCCAGCCAAGAGAGTGCCTGGGAAATGTGGCTCTGGATTCACAGTCTCTGCACGAGGGGAAGGTTCACTGTCTACACTCAGGGTAAGGTAAGCAGGCACAGGCTGCTTTACAAGGAGTGGTCGTGACAGCTGTGTCTGAAATCACACTTAGCTGTCAAGAGTCATCACACTGGCAGTTTGCCTTTCATGTTGAAGATTCAGGTCTTTACCTTCCGAAGAGCTGGCCTCCACCTCCTCCAGCGTCTCCTTCTGGACACCGGGACTCTACTAAGGTGGAATTGCTCTTTCTTCCTGTGTCATTTCATCCTGCTCTGCCTCATTCATACTGCTTTCTCTGGGTTCCTTTCCCACCATTCTTTGCTTGGCTGGCTGTTTCAGCTGAGAAGTCTTCTCCAGAAAGCCTTCTTTGTAACTCTAGGTCATATTTGAGTCTCTTTTTTTTTTTTTATGTTCACATGAGCAGATTTTGTGCCACATATTGATGATTTCCTCCGTTACGTTAGAACAATCTGTTCATGTCTCTCGTCCTTATTCCATGAGCTGCAAAAGGTCAGGGATGCCTTCTTCATCTCTGTACCCCCAGAGCCTGGCATAGAGTAAATTCACCAATATGCCTTTTGAAATGACACAAGTGGAATTTTGAAAAAGTAAGAATTGCTTGTTCAATAAATTGGGAGGAAGATGGACATTTCAGGCTGAGAAAATAGCACATTCAAAAGTACAGGGTCATAGAAGAGCAAAATGGGTTGAGAAACATGTGCACAATTCATTGAGGGGGAAAAAAGCCCACTGGGCCAAAATGGCATCAGAAAATTAACAGGGTTGGGATTAGGATGGGTCTTGGGTGCTAAGCAAAAGTGTTCAAGCTTATTTAAAAGCTTTGGGAAGCCAAATTGAAGGATTTTAAACATATAATGGACTTACATGATCAGATTTGTGTTTTTAAACAGATTTGTTTAACAGCGGAATAAATGGAGGATTAGAAGGGCTTAGAGTAGAACCAGAGAGACGGCAAAGAAGTCATTCCAAGTAATAAGGGAGACAGACCTGAAGGCAATGGAAATAGCATGAATAAGGGGCAGGCTCGTGGGCTGCTTAAGGCTACAGATCAGTAGGATGGGGCTGCCTACACAGCTCAGTGGTAGATCACTTGCCTTCCACTCACAAGGGCCTGAGTTCAACCCCCAGCACCTCACCACACCCCCTCCACACACAAATATATATTATATACACATATATACATAAAAATATAGATAGATATTTCTATCCATCTATCTATGGGTGCATGGGTGCATGTGGTGGGGTGGGGGGAATTGGAGGAATTTGGGAACTGATTTGCTGTGGGAACAGAAAAATTGAGACTGGTTTAGTAGAAGGCCTCTCATCTCCTCTCAGAAACTTTCCTCATGCTCAAAACCCTGAATTCCCACATATGGGTAATGAATGACAAATGACAAAATGTATCATATCTCTTCCCATCTACATCAAGGGGAAAAAAATCTAGATGTTAGTGTGGAATGGGTTTTGGAGGGACCCAGGCTAACCCTAATTTGGTGCATGACTGAGAGAAGGAGTGATTTTTCCACTCTTCCCCTGAAAATCAGTAGCCAGCATCCAGTCAGGTCTCCATTGCATCTTCTATTTAATTCTCCACTCAGCACTCTTCTCTCACATTGTCTTGTGTGTTTGCTTATTTTCTATCTCTGTCTGACATTAGGATGCCATATTTAAGGGCAGAGTCCTTGACTATATCAAACAGTGTTCTGTCTATAGAGTGGATGCTTAATGAAAATTGGTTGAAAAAGGAATGAGTCAGGTACAATCATGTCTGCCCATCACCAAACCTGTTATCTCTGCACAGGACCTTGGTTTGGAGGTTATCAAATTCATAATTCTATTTCCTTCTAAGACTTTGCTCAGACAGTCCCACAGAGATTAAAATCTATTAAGCAATAACATTGTACTTCACATGGCTTCAGATACAAAGAGCTAAACATAAGCATTAATATATGACTTCAAGAATATTAGTCATTGACCTTTGCACACCTGTTAGGAGGACTGATATAAAAAAAATAAGTGTTGGTGAGAACATAGATAAGTTCTGGAATCATTTTACACTGTTGGGAATGTAAAATGGCACAGTTGCTATGGAAAACAGTATGGAGGTTTCTCAAAAAAATTAAAAATAGAATTGCCATGTGATTCCACTTCTGGGAACTTACCCAAAAGAACTGAAAACAGGATCTCAAAGAAATAATCTCTATACCTAGATTATAGGAGCATCACTCATAATTGCTAAAGCAAATATCTGTTTTTATGGCTCTTGTTCAACCCAACTTGCCCATTGATGGATGAAGCATAAACAGAATGTTTATATATGTATGTATGTACACATACAATCATTCAACGTAAGAAGCAAGAAAATTCTAATACATGCAGCAACATGGCTAAACCTTGAAACTATTGTGCTAAGTGAAATAAGCCAGTCACAAAACATCAAATTCTGGATGATTCCATTTATAGGAGACAACTACAATATTTAAATCCAGAGGGAGAGAATGCAGCGTGGGAGGGTTGGAATGCAGAGTTCTTGTTTAGTAGGTATAGACTTTTAGTTTTGAAAGAGTAAAAGAGTTCTGGAGATTGGCTGCACAACTGTGAATCTACTTAACACTGCTGAACTATACACTTCAAAATGGTTAAGATGGCATATTATATGTCATGTGTGTTTTGCCACAATTTAAAAAAACATTTACCACCGAGGTATGCATATCTTTCACCTTATTTATCCTTACAAGAACTCTGAACTGTTATTAGAAATAGAAGTCCTATTTTATAGCGAGGACAATGAGGCTCAGAGAAGTGAAATGATTTGCCCAAGGCACACAGCAGAAAAGAGCTAGGCTGAGCTTCACCGAGGCCTCCTGACTTCATGCCCAGTGAAGGCTCCTGCCATGTCCAGGGACAGGAAGTACAACTGGATTAACTTGTCTGCTGGCTTAAGTGTAAGAAATCAACTCCTGACAATTTGTGGAGAGAGCTGTAAAAGTGTCCATGGATTGTGGGTGTGTCAGGGGAGAAAAGAGAGAGAAATCCAGCATACAAATGCAAGCCAGTTCCCAGAGACCTGCTTTAGGCCTCTTGTTCAATTCCCTCCCTTCCTAAATCTTCAGAGAGCAGGTGTGAGTCAACTATAAACAGTGAGAAAAGGTCACCCAACATTTCCTCAACTGGCAAGCTAGGAAGTCCCTGCCATGGAGACAGTCTGTGTACCTGACATTAGAAACCTGCAATGTGACCTGGAGAGAGTAGTGGCTCTTGTTTTTTGAAAAGGCTCCATTAGATGCCCTCCTACCTGCTACAAAGGCAAAAGATGAGAAATGCACTTACACAAATAAACAAGGTTTAGTGGGAGAAAGTGGGGGGCCATAGGAAGAGTATGAAGCAGGAGTCAAGCCCAAATCTCCCTGGTTGGATACCAGCCAGTCACTCACTGCTCTGGGCCCTTCCTCTACCCTCAGGCTCTGGTTGACATCACCACAACCTACTTTCAGACATGAGGCTGAGCCCAGTTTAGAGGGAAGAGTAGATCTCCCACGGGGAGCTGAAACTACCAAAGGATCATTGAGCTTTTATTTGTCATGGACCTACTATGTGTCTGGCAGTGATGGACACTTGATCTTTGGGAGCCCTGATCCTTTATTAGTATCTTCAAGTATCCTTTATGTGCTATGAAAAAAATAAACATAGCTGAAGTGCTTCAAAGAGGAGACAATCATTTCTTTCCATCTCACATAGCCAGTAGCATTACTGACTGAGACTGCCAACAAGTAAGCAATTGGATTACATCTGCCATTAAAACTCTTGAACATGTATAGTGAGGTCAGCTAATCACACTGGTTTTCTTTCTCCTGGAATAATGAAGTTTTTTGTTTGTTTTGTTTTCTTTGGGTTTTTTAATGCTTTAGGAAGGAGTGAAAAACTTCAAGGAACTTCGAGCCAAATTTCAAAAGTTTGATGCTCCAACTCTTCCAGGACCTATTAAATTCCCAGCAGGTGACTCTCAAAAGGATGAAGTGGTATGTGCACGGCCAATTCCGATCCTGGCAAAGGGGAAACCCATCTCTTCCAACCATAATCAGCCCCTACCATATTCTTGCAATGGTGAGTCCCCACCTCAGAAAACCAAGGTGACCCAGAGGAGTGAAATGCGGAAGAGCTCAAGTTCCCCAGGACCTCTAGCAAAGTCTACTGTGTGTTCCACAGGAAACTTCCAGAAGGCCTCTGTGCTGTTGGATGTGACTGGATCAAAGGCCGAGGTAACCCCCAAGGAGAGAGTGGTGGCCTCCAGCAGCTTCAGAGACAAGCTCAGGAACTGGGAGAAGGTTTCCTCTCAGAGAAACGAGACCTCGTCGGCCCTTCCCCTCTCCGATTGTGGAGGGAAGGCCTTCCATTTGGAAGGGCAAAAAAGCATGGGGCTTGCCCCAGAGAAGCCCAGGAAAAAGCTGGAAACCAAAGGAGCCCAGACCCTTCCTTCTCAGAGGCACTTGACGGCCCAAAGAAAATCACTCACCATCTCTGAAGACCCTTCTTCTCGACTTTCTCCACGTGGCAGGAAGAGCCAGGAAATCTCCAGTCCTGAGAGGGGCCTGGCAGGCAGTACCTGCCAGCCTGTTTACGAGTGTCAGCTTGACAGCCAGACCCCAGGTAAGAAGTAGACCGGGGAAGGGCCATTATGTTTTTCTAACTAAAGCCCGTTGATCTGAAGTGGTCATTGGGTATAGGCAATGTAGCCTGAGGATTGTAGGCCTATCTGTTAGAGTCTCAAATTTGGATCAAGTGCTCAGTCTCCTGGAATTCATTGCAATGCAGTTTGGGCGTCCTGGATATGATTCCTAGATCTGGTTCTTACACAGCTGCAGGAACTCAGGCAATCTACAAATTTCTTAGAGCCTGGTCTGCTCTCCTACAAATCAGAGCTGTCACCAGACTTTGTTGGTAAATATCACAACCATCTCAGGCTAAAAACCCAGGAGTGAAGCTCTGTTCTTTCTTCTCTCTCATTCTTTACATTGAATCCATCAGTCATTGCTTGGTTGTACCACAGAGGTGAGTTCAGAACCCCTGGACTTCCACATATCTCTGCCCCCTGCTCTTGCCACACCATCATCTATTACCTTGACCACTGCAGTAGCTTCACAGGTCTCCCTGCTTCTACATTCTTAAATTTTGTTCCCTTCCTAGTAGGCAGAGTCACCCTGCAAAGCATAAATCAGATCACATCCTTCTTCTGCCCAAAGTCAAGTCCAATCATGAACAGGGATTCATGCAATTTAGTCTTTGCCTGCTTCTCTTGCCCTCTCCCCTTGTGCCACATTGCCTTGATAATCCTTATCCCATGCTGATTCCATCCCAGGTCTTTGCCCTTGTCGGTCCCTCCTCCTGGCCAGGTCTTTGATGTCTTGCTCCCTCCCCTCATCAAAGTCTCTATTCTGAGTGGTCCTTTTTGGTCACTCTGTCTAAAAGAGCTACACCAGTTCCATTACCCTTTGTTGTTTAATATCGCTTTGATGTTCTTTATATCATTTATTTTTACCTGGTATATTGTTATATGCTTCCCTTGATAAGATGCAAATTACAAGATGGTAAAGACTGTCTTACCACCATATCCCCAAAAAGAGTATGGTCAGGTGAGCAAGTCTTCAAAAAGTATTGGTTCAATGATTGATTAAATGGATGGATCAATCAATGGAGGAATCTCCTGCTTACAACCCCATGTGGTTTCTCTGACACAGTCCTCGTGGCCCTGTTCTCGGGTCCTTGATCTGTATCTGACTTTTCTCCTACCTTTCTTCCCCTAGCATACTCCCCCATAGTCAACATGCTGGAGAGATCTCTGGAGTTCTCTCGTTTGCCATCAGTTTCCTCTTAGTAGAATGAACATTCCTACACACAGGACCACATTTGTTCTCGTTTTCAGTTCTATCCCCAGCTGCCAGTACAATGCCTGAAATATAGTAAATAAACAGTTATCGATGAAGGGGTGGGGAAAAGAGGAAGGATAAATAGAAATAAAGATGGATAGGAGAGAACAAAGAAAAACAGAACCTACTGGATAGAACTATTGAGAATTAAATGAGATAGCTATTTCAATTGCTTAGCACAATGACTGGTAAAAATTAGATCAGTTAGTGATAGTTTATTATTACTTAAGTCTTCTCCCTAAGTCTTTTCCCCAATTTGATAAAGAGTGAAATTTCTGATGCTGCGACTTATAATTAAAGACTAAGAAGAATCTAGACTAGGAATTTGGCCCTGAGCTTCTGGGAATATGACTGTGATAGGGCAGGAAAAAAGTTTTCTCTCCCCTCCCAGCTCACAGAGTTCAAGGAGGTCTCACAGGCACAGGAAAAAACTGAGTGCACTTCTTTAGTGTCAGTTTGGATGTCCTTCGTAGTCAACTACCATATTATGTAAACCAAAACTCAGGCGCTTGGGTTATATAAGAATTTGTGTTATTCTCACAAGAAGCAGATCGAATTTTCATATATAATGATAGAATTTCTGTTGGAATTGGATTTATGAGTACATAAGAACAAATATTTAAAATTGGGAAAATTCCAGGATATAAAACTCAAAAGATGCCAAGTTCCACAAAGTCAGCTTTGAAGCAAGTCCTAGGCTATCAGCTCTGGTGATCAGAGATCAATTCTTACTCCTCTTTATAGTCCCTTCCGTGTTATTCACTCACCAGGTGTTTGAGGAATCCTTTCAGTGAGTAGCTATGGTTTGTCCTTGCTTGGTGTGAGGAGACCAATATGACATAATCCCTGCCCTCAAGAGGTCATGGTTAATGAGAAGTTAGACTAGCCTCTCTGGTAAGCCATGACACTGAGGTAAGGGCATTAATAATGAGCTATAGGGTTACAAAACAGAGAGTGGTTAATTTTTGACTTGATTTCTAGAGAAATCAAGAAAAGCCAGAACTGTAGAAGAATGAATCAAAGTTTGCAAGAGAGGGAATAGCACCCCAGAACAGGAGTGGCATGAACAAAGTCTCGGAGACAGGAGAGCCTTTTAAAATCAAACCTGGAGATTGGGGAAGCCAGTTTTGTAAGAGATGCTGGGGCTGAAGGCCGGGGAAGTAGGAGGACATGGCTAGTTCTGTCAGCATTGTTGCTGCTGTAACTTAATGATCTGACCAGAACAACTGTAAAGGAGGAAAAGTTTGTTTGAGGGCACATGGTTTCAGAGGTCCATTCCTTGGGGCTCAAGGTGAGGCAGAACATCATGGCAGAAGAGTGTGGCAGAGCAAAGCAGCTCATATGGTGATCAGAAAGCAGAGAAAATGGTCCCCACTTGTCAGATACAAATATATTCCCCATAGCCACATTCCCAATTCCCACCTCCTCCAGCCACACCTCACCAGCCTTTAGTTACCACTCAGTGAATCTCTATCAGGGGGTTAACTCACTGGAGTAAGGCTATGACCCATTCATTTCTCCTCCAAACCTTCTTGCATTGTCTCACTCGTGAGCTTTTTGGGGACACCTCACATCTAAACCACAACACCGGGTGATGAGGAAAGAATCTGGAGACATGGTAGGGGCCATGTGGTAGTGAAATGGAAGAAAATGGGGTGAACAGGTGAGGAGGAGGAAGTCTTGAGGGCAGCGGGATGGGTGACCTGCGCTGGTTTGAGTTTGGATCGGGACACTCTGGCTGCTGCATGGAGAATAGATTGAAGGGGAGTGAGACTGAGTTTCACCTGGCAAGCCATGGAATTTCAATAATCACCTGTGTGTTTTCCTGCCTGTCTCAGAAAAGCAGCCGGATATCAGGCAAAACCAGTTTCCCAAAACGAAACCACTGCCTTCCACTGAGTCCCTGGGTCCTCCTCCCGCCAAGCCATCAAAGCCCCCGAGGGTGGACCTCCAGGCTTTCCAGAGGCAGCCAGCTTCTATTGCTAAGGCCCAAAATGAAGGTAAGGAACAGCACGGGCCTCACACAGAGCCAGCCGGAAGTCACGGCTCTGGTGCCTGCATCCCCAGTGCCACCTCCCTCTCCAGTGCCACCGCTCCTCCTCCACGAGGCTCCCCATCACTTCTTATTCTCCTGTATAGGCTGTGGCAGTTTGCCCATGAAGTGACAGATCTGCAGGAACTGGCCCCTTATCTCTCCTGGGCCAGCTCGCTCCCCCTGAGGGCTCTGCATTTGATCACTGGGAATCTGTCCAAGAGGAAAAAGAAAATGAAAAGTCACCAAGCAGGGAGGCAGTGAGGCTCTGCATTCCTTGCAAAACCTGAGCTGCCTGACACAATCGGTGCAGAAAAAGAAAAGGAAGTGAAGAGAAGGAGAGCAATTGTGAACTTGACCTGAGGTTCTTTTTTTTTTTTTTATTGGTTGTTCAAAACATTACAAAGCTCTTGACATATCATATTTCATACATTAGATTCAAGTGGGTTATGAACTCCCATTTTTACCCCAAATACAGATTGCAGAATCACATTGGTTACACATCCACATTTTTACATATTGCCATATTAGTAACTGTTGCATTCTGCTACCTTTCCTATACTCTACTATCCCCCCTCCCCTCCCCTCCCATCTTCTCTCTCTACCCCAGCTACTGTAATTCATTTCTCTCCTTGTTTTTTTTCCCTTTCCCCTCACATCCTCTTATATGTAATTTTGTATAACAATGAGGGTCTCCTTCCATTTCCATGCAATTTCCCTTTTCTCTCCCTTTCCCTCCCACCTCATGTCTCTGTTTAATGTTAATCTCTTCCTCCTGCTCTTCGACCCTACTCTGTTCTTAGTTGCTCTCATTATATCAAAGAAGACATTTGGCATTTGTTTTTTAGGGATTGGCTAGCTTCACTTAGCATAATCTGCTCTAGTGCCACCATTTCCCTGCAAATTCCATGATTTTGTCATTTTTTAGTGCTGCGTAATACTCCATGGTGTATAAATGCCACATTTTTTTTATCCATTCATCTATTGAAGGGCATCTGGGTTGGTTCCACAGTCTAGATACTGTGAATTGTGCTGCTATGAACATCGATGTGGCAGTATCCCTGTAGTATGCTCTTTTAAGGTCTTCAGGGAATAGTCCGAGAAGGGCAATAGCTGGGTCAAATGGTGGTTCCATTCCCAGCTTTCCCAGGATTCTCCATACTGCTTTCCAAATTGGCCGCACCAATTTGCAGTCCCACCAGCAATGTACAAGAGAGGATGTGGGGAAAAGGGTACTCTTGTACATTGACCTGAGGTTCTTAAGAGGTCCCCCTTGGGCTCCTGTGATCTGCCTGCACTAATTAATTAAAGCCTCTCCCACCCCATCCAGGAAGTGAACCATCCTTAGAAGTCATTTTTCTGTGCCATTTTGTGTCTTACTCTGCTACTTAAAGGAATGTCTCTCATGCCTCACCATGGGCTGATCTGTAGACATTCGAAATGCCTTTGCTTATATTCATCTAATGAAACATAAGGGGAACATACACTTTGGGGCAATATGTAGTGCTGTGCTAACATTTGTTTTACTGTGGCCATCAGCACCAACAGATGGTACTTTGAGAGAGCTAATGCAGTCTTTGATTGCTCATTTGTCTGCTTTGGGCAGCCTCATGGTTGAATTTCTTTAATTTGGTGGTTCTCAAACTTAAGCATGCATCAGAATCACCTAGAGGACTTGATAAAACTCAGGTTGCAGGACCCCATTCCCTGAGTTTGATTCAGTTGGTCTGGGATGGAGCCTGAGAATTTGCCTTTTGACCAATTAATAGGAAAGCTGATGTTTCTGGCCTAGGGATCACACTTAAATCATCTTAAGTCTTATCCTACAAGAAAATGCTATATAGAAAGATAGAGGTCTTATAAGTACCCTTTAGTAATATGGCCACTTCCACATCAAGGAAGGCTAAGTGTGATTCAGGTCTCAAACCATCTCTCTGAAAGAGACGATGGTTGTCAACACAGAACAAAGTATTAAGTCCTTTGTAATAAAAAGGGGCCTTGTAAATCCCATCTCCTTAACCATCTAGTACTCACCAAGTCTCATTTTTACTTATCTGTAAAACCCATTTTGCGGGGGTGGGGGGTAAATGGGTAATAATTACAACTCCAATCTCAGAATTATTGCAAGAACAATAAGGTGATGCCTAGAAAGAACTGAAATAATGCTCAGCACCCCAGTAAGTAAAGCTTCTGTGTTATTTCAACCACTCATTGAGCAGATAGTGTCAGGCCCTATGATGGAAGCAAGAGATGGAGATAAATCCCACAGAGTTTCCAGTCCTCAAATAGGTCAAAGTCTAATGCAAGAAGCTGTGCCATAAATAAACACCATAAAGCAAGAGTGAGTGTGATAAGTAGGGATGAGTAACCCCCACCCTGCCCCCATGCCATGGTGGGAGTGGGGTGTTTGGGAACACAGGTGAATTAACACTCCATACATGGTCTCTGGGATCCAGCCATGTCATGAGTATCGTTCACTTTAACCAGGCTGCTGCCAACACCTTTTTTTTTTTTTTTTTAATTTTGCCTCTTGTTCTTGCAGTGACCGTAAAAGAGGACTGCCCACCTCCGGAGAGGTGAGTACCTGCTCCTTAATTGTGTAGGAGTGCAGACCATCAACCTGGCTACTTTGCTTGCCTAACAGCAGGCAGGGAGCTCAAGTCAAGTGTCTGTTGTCCTCAGAAGAGTTGCAGGAAGAGCAGATTTATAAGCAACAATCTGCAACTTTTGTTTTAAAAGAAAGATTAAATAAACTGCATTTAACTACTATGCTGACATTAAGTTGCAGAGATGGTCCTCTGAAGTACTTTTTTTTATTGTACAGATGGGTTCAGTAAATTGAAACATGAGCTTTGATAGTCATAAATTCATTTAGAGGTTATAGAATGCTCTGGGCAGCTGTGATGTTAGGAATGGGTAATGGTGTGCAGGGTGTGCTCTTTCTGGTATGCTGCTTCGAAGAATTTTGCTGTGGAAGTGTCAGTTCATTAATTCACCCAACCAAATCATGAGCCCTTTGAAGTGACACCCATTGAGCTGGCTACTTTTTACAGACTTTGTCATTTAGTTGTCTCCGGAGCCTTGGCAAAGTTGCTGCTGCTGTCCTGGTTTTATAGCTCAAGACACAAGGGTCCAGGAAGTTTGCCACTTGCTGAGGCAGGATTCCAGCCCAGATATGCCCAGATTATTTTAACTATAAGCCTTGCCTTCCTCACAAAGATGTTTCTTGTGTGAAGGTTAGTCTTAGAAGGAGAAACCAGCTCAAAAATGATCATATTACTGATTCATTCATCAAATGTTTATAATAAAGTGTATTACATTTGTTATAGAGTAGATTATAAGATTCAGAGTTTGTACCAGTAAGGGAATGGTCACTACTTGGGAGTGTCAGGAAGGGTCAGGGAAGTCTAAAGATGTATCAACTATCTACTGCTCCGTTAATACTGTTTAATAAATAATGTTTAATAAACATGCAATGTGAATCTGTGGGATACATTTGATCTGAACTTGCTGGTATGTTTGCAGTCATCTGTGGACTATAGGCAGCTTTGCTGATTCTGTCTAGGGATGCTCACATGTCTGGGGGTCAGCATGAAGCTGGCTAATCTAGGAGTGCATTGGGGCAGGGATGACTGGGCACCTTGACTTGGCACCACCTGTCTCTTATTCTCCAGCAAATCAGCCCCAGGAATGCACTCCTGGGAGTGGCAACAGTCAATCAAGACAATCCCAATAGACTATGTTCTACTATGTTCTATTTTAAATCCTTTGCTGTGTCACCTTTGTTAACATTCTATTGCTCAAAGCAACTCAAATGGCCAAGTCCAAGGTCAGAGTGGAAAGGCACTAAAGGCTTACATGGCAAATGACAGGGATCTAGATAGCCTGAAGAATAGGGGCATGAATCCAGTCAAGCCATCAATAAAGAGGAAACACCTGACATGAGTATTGAGGATGAATGATGACTTGGGAACGGGTGCTCCATAGGCAGAGGCAGGCGGTATGAAGTCACCTGTCTTATGTCTACTTAATTCTAGAAAGAGTTAAGTAGAGTTAGAGCATAAAAAGCATAGAAAGGGAATTGAGGTGTCAGGAATCACGTTGTGGAGAATCCTGTACACCAAGCGATTGATAAGATCCTCTTATTCAACAAGGATCCATCTGTGTAGTGCTAGACTCAGTTCTTGTGCTCTTAATGGAGTTGCCCATTTGAAAGAGTTAAGTGTCCTAAGCACAAGGCAAACCATAGAGCTGCATGTATGTGAAAGGGAGAAAATGGTGCTGATGGCTCAGGCAGTGGAGTGCACCCTTCACTCAGCACAAACCCTGCTGTGACCGCTAAAGAGACAGTGTACCTCTGCTAGGCTGGGTGGGCCTTGGTTGTCTCGTGGCTGTGATGCTGTGACCATCTCGGTATGAGCATGTGTGTGCCGCGACTGTGTTGTTTATGCATTTTCCCCACATTTTGGCACTGAGGTATGGTGACAATGGCACTGTAACCTCAGAAACAGCAAACCCCACCAACATGAGTGACAAACTTGCTGTAACATGCCTGTTGGGAGAGAAAACTCAGTCTCCAACATGGTGCTACCTTTCCTAAGGATTTATAAGGGTAGTTTTGACCATTCTGTCCTTTTATGTTGACTTTATAATACAACTCACATCTGAAATGAGGTTTCATCATATATTAATTATGATATGGGCCATAGTAATAACTAGAAACAAGATAAAGAGGGAACAGAGTTCTTAGGGGTGGCTTCATGGAAGAGGAAGTAATTCAAGCCGTTATCCTGTATGATGAGTAGGAATTAGGTAGGTTTACTTATTTGTTCCTTTTCAATATACTGCAAGTGAAATCCAGGCAGGCTATTGTTCCTGAAAATAACCACATTCTGATTCATGGGTGAGTGGATGGATGGATGGATTGAGGGATGGACAGATTGACCAATGGACAGTCAGGATGGAGTTAGAACATGATTGAAAGTAGGGGTATAGTAATAAATAAGAGAAAATAAATAGAAAGCATTCTAATATGAAAAAATGAGAGATAACTTTTTTGTGTGTATGTGGTGCTAGGGATTGAACCCAGGACCTTGTTCATGGAAGGCAGAGACCCTACCAACTGAGCTATATCTCCAGCTCTAAAAGATACCTTTTACTTTGAACTCCTTTATCATATCTGTTGTTTGCAAGTCTGTATTCTTTGTAAAATCAACACATAAGAAGACATGGTTTTGTTGACTGGATTCAAATTTAATGTGATGCTTTGAAATAAACTCACTACTTTTAGAAACATAAAAAAAAGAGAGAGCAAGAGATAATGTTGAATCCTGTAGTTGGCCCTCCCTATCTGTGGATTCTGAGTCCATGGATTCAACCAACCTCAGACAGAAAATGTGTGAAAAAAGTTATGTCTGTACTAAACATACAGATTTTTTTCTTGTCATTTTTCTATAAAACAATATAGTATACCAACTCTTCATATAACATTTATATTATATTAGATATTATAAGAAATCTACAGATGATTTAAAAGATCTGGCCAGGAATCATAATCCCAGTAGCTCAGGAGGCTGAGGCAGGAGGATAGAGAGTTCAAACCGGCCTCAGCAACTTAGCAAAGCCCTAAGCAACTCAGCAAGACCCTGTCTCTAAATAAAATATTTTAAAAAGGGCTAGGAATGTGCCTCAGTAGTTGAGAGCCCCTGGGGGTTCAATCCTCAGTACCAAAAAAACAAAAACAAAAAACAAAAAAAACCCTGGAGATCTGTATACGTTATATGCAAATTCTAAACCATTTTATATGAGAAACTCAGGCATCTGCAGATTTTCGTATCCATGAGAGGTCCTGGAAGCAATTCCCCAGATGCTGAGGAGCAACTATATGTTAAACGCTAAGCTGAGGAGTTTGGACTTTGTCTTGTTGATGTTAATTTGAATACACAAGTGCCATGGTGCCCAATAGCCTTAGATACAATTTCCATGGAAACTAGTGCTTGTGTGGGAAGATCATCTCCCATGTTCAAGAGATGCCCATATTAAATTTAGAAAATAGATTTTAAAATAGAATGCATAATATCATTACTGCAAAGGGATGTGGTATTATCTGATGTAGCTAGGGTACATAGTATAAAATTAATGAAAGCCTGGGTATCTAAGTACTACATTTAATACCTGTAACCTTGAGCATGCTCTAACCTCTGCAGACCTCAGTTTCTACTTCTATAAGAGAGCAATGTTTATAGGTCCTAATTTGCATCATTGTGGTGAGGGTTAAATGAAATAATAACTATAAAGTATTTATTGCAGTGTCTGGCGTCTGGAGAGTGTCTTGCTTGGCTATTATATAACTTCCTACCAAGGATAACAATCCAGGCTTAGAACCCTAGTCTCCAAACACCCACTGATGAAGAACATTGTACCTAGAAAGTTCAGCATTTTTTCTTTCTTGAGGAATATTTTATTCATTCAGCACATAGTTATTGAACATATCCTATATACCAAGTACCTTTGTATATAGCAGTAGACAAAGGAGACAAAATATTTTACATGTATCTGTGCACATTTGTTTTGTTTGTTTATTTGCTTGTTGGTTGACTTACTTCAAAGTAAGCTAGAAAAAAAAATTGACCTCCATACCCCAAACTCCCCACCATCTCCAAGATCTATCTGTGGCACAGCAGACATTGCCTTACCTCTTCTTTCCATGAGAGTCCTTAAAGCATTTAAGTCCTGTACTCTTCTCCAAGTTTACTCCTATTGTTTGCAACCATTGTTCATAAAAGAGGAGTCTCTGTGCTCTAGCTGTATTTTTACAGAGACGCCTTTTAACCATCTGGTTAATAACTCAGTGCCTCTACAAGCGCCATCTTTCCTTTCTGGGCTTCCTCCCCTTTTGTATTAAATCTGAGAAGCAGCATTGCATCATGGAACAAGTACAGATCTGAAGTCAGATATTAACAGAAGTTCAAACCCATCATCCGCACTGTAGATGACTCACTGCAACAGTTCAGAGCTTTGATCGACACATCTGTAAAATGGGCACGTGGTAATAGTATTTCCTTCATAGCGCTGTTATGAAGATCAGTAAGATAAATTGTATAAAGCATGAAGTGTACAGAAGATGCTCAATGAGTCTGGATTTTTTCAACCCTTAGCTTCCCCTTTCCTTGTTGTCTGTGAAATATTAATATCTCATTAGCTCCCAACAGAAGTGGCTGTTAAGAAATTATTCTTTGTCATCACTCTCCTGTAAACCAAGCTGGCTGGCATCCCTCTTATGAATAAGCAGCCACGGTTTGTGTAAACAAAGCAGGTGGGTCCCAGGGCAGCAGTCAGTGCTGGGCCTCTGTCAGGACTTAGCAGAGTTGGCTAATATTTTATTCATTAGCTATAAATTGACTTCTCTCCCATTAAGTGGCAGATGGTAGTCCTGACTCAGGAAATCTGACTCAAGAAAGGAAAGGCTGTTGATTTCGGGAGTAGGGAAGACGCAGATGCGCAGTATCTCAGTCAGGGTCTGCAAGTACATTCTAGAAAGTCTATCATTTTCTCACTTGAGCTTTTTAATCTTGTG